TTGTAAAAATGAAAATTGAAACTCAAACATATATTGGGGAAAGAGCTGAAGTAAATCAAATACAAACTGACCTAAAACAAAAATTTAAATAACCCACTTTTTAATAAAATCCTTTAAAATCCCAAACCTTAGAGCAACATAGTTAATTCTCAGGGCTCTGGCCATTAGGAAACCATTTCATTCACCAGAATCCTCTGGATAAATATATTCTTACAGGAATAATTTCTACGTTATGTTGTTGACATTTGTTCAGACTGGCATTACAGCCACCACCACCACCACTATCACCATAACTACCACGAAAAGTTTGATCGCTCACTAAAGTCTTCAAAAAAATTGTTTATATCCGTTTTATGGTGACTGAGGCTGTCTGAGCATTACTGTTATGTGATTTTTTATTTGTACTTTCACTTAGTTTTTGTAATAGTTGTCATATGAATTTTCTGAGCAGCATATTTTTTAAGTTTGCTTTCATTCACCCTATTTTATAATGCTTATATTATCTTTTTCTTCTTTTTTTCCTTCTGTTCTGCAGGCAAGCTAGACATTTTTAGACTGGCAACTTATGAACATTTTATGCAACTCAAAGAAACAATCCACAAAAAGTTGAATTGACCACCTTGTAAATGCTTTGTGATAGACCCAAGTTGCAAGTGTCTTGTATGGTCATTGATTTCCATACTGAATGATTGCACATCATACACTCGCTTTAATAAGCAATGATAAATCAACCATTCAATTTCAAATATATGTATTAACTGAGGTTTTTTTAATATTTAAGGAAGACTTTCTAACTTACCGGCCCCGCTCTAAAGTGAATAAAGTGTCTTTTCTTTTCTAATGCGTTGGAGTTTTTACTAGAATTGACCAATGACGAATTCCGGTACACTAACTTGCAAACCTAAAAATCTTATAGACGACCTTTTCAACAAACCTTCATTTCCCCGTCATCCTCTCCATGGGCGGCACCGGTCATTCTTGTCAACAAGACGGATGGTTACCTCCGACGTTGTATCGACTATCGAAAGCTTAACGGGTTAAAAATTCGCCACTTCTTTCCCTTTCCGCGTATGGACAATCCCTTCAATGATCTGGATAGAAAAAGGTATTTTTTCCTTATTAACATATCCGGAAGCTATTGGCAAATCAGGATGGATCCACAAGACCGCGTTTACACTACCTTTCAGCCTCTACAAGTTGTACAGCCTTTCCATGGACTAAGCCAACGCAGCTGCCACGTACCAACGTGTAATGCAGAAAGTCCATCAAGGCCTCATCCGATAAAATATCGGGTCTATCTAGGCGACGTCATAGTCTTCGGCTCTACTGAAAAGGGGATGCTGGACAACCTAATTGAAGTTCTATAGATGTATTATCAATCTGGCCTAACCATTAACCCGAAAAGTAATGCCGGCTTCTAGATTCTCTCCAGATCTAGACAAAAATAATCCAGTTAAGGAATGGCCCACTTTTAACTCCGCAAGCGAAGTGCGGTCGTTCTTAGGCCTAACCTACAACTACAGCGCCTTTATGACTGAATGCAGCCAGATTGCACTTCCCCTAAAACGGCTTACATACAAAGGCAGGTCCTTCGGCTGGTCGCCAGAGTGTTAATAGCCCTTTCAAAACTTAAAACAAAGACTAACCGCGGCCCCCATCTTGATATTTTTGAACCTGGGTTCAAAGGCACCTTCATTCGTTCTGAACACGAACTCTAACAGATATCCAATGCGGAACCGATGGCGCAAAACACGTTATAGAATATGCAACCAGAGCGCTAGATAAGACGAAGAACAATAACAGCTCAACTAGACGCAAACTCTCAGCAATCGTTGCGTTCATAACCAAACATTTTTGTGTACCCGAAAGCAAATCTTTTTTGATTCGATTCGATTATCAGGCTCTCACCTAGTAATATAGTTTTTAAAAACCAGAGGGTCATCACAGTCAATTCCAATACAACGACTTAGGTGAAATTGCAAGCAAAGGATCTCGACATGGCTATAATTTATGACAGACGACTCCACAGTCAACGATAATCTTCAGCTGGAGAAATGAGAGCCAAAGCCAGAGCGTTCACACAGTGTGGTCCTTCTGGTGCAACTTTTTCCTTTGCAACAAGATCCTTTATTTCCAATAGAAAACCAACTCCACCATTCGCCTGGTGGTGCCTCAATCATTGGCACGAGCTGTTTTCACAGGACTTCAAAATCGATTGGGCCACCCCGGACAGGGCAAACTAAGTAAAGCAGCTCACAAAAAATTCTGCTCACTGAATTTAAGACGTGAAGTTCGTCTTTTCCCATTCGTTTTACACTAAAGGCTTTCACTTACCTTTCCACGGCTCCGCATCTACCAAAGAGTAGGCATCGACGTCAATTCACCTACATAACTTTAGCTTTTAATGGTATTACTTCAAAGCCAGTATTATATTTTTCTTTTTATGCCTGTTAAAGCTTCTGGCCATGGTTGACTACTTTTCCAAATGGATGGAAGTGGCACCCCTTCCCAACCAAGAGTTTCGCACCGACATTTTGTACAGGGTCTCTCGCTACGAAGTTCCTGACTCCAAACACTCCGATCAGGGATCCAATTTTGAGAGTCGCATTTTCAAAGATCTTTGTGAGAATTTGGGCTGCGTGAAAACGCGCGACACCCTTTACCAACATATGAGTAACGGTTAAACGAAAAGGACAAACAGATCACCACCATTACCCCTACGCGCCTTCATTTTCACAGCCAGCAACGATATCTGGGATCAACGCATCCCACGTTGTCTGCTCGCCTACAGATGCACAGTTCACTAGTCCCCAGGATTATTTCCTACCCTTTTGATGGATGGTCGTACACTCCAAACTCCCTTCGACTTACAGTTTCCTCCCGATACCCGGCGCCACATGTCCCCAGTATATATGCCACACAACTTGAAGATATTCACCGCACGATTAGCGACCTCGTTCGATGACACCTGAACTCCAATCAAGAACAGCAAAAATGCCTTAACAATCGCACGGCTCATGGAGCTCTTCTCAACCAGGGAATTAAGTCTGGCTTCACAAACCCTACCTTAGCCGTGGTAGCTACATGAAACTTGACAACCCCTACACAGGCTCCTTCGTTGTCGTCCAATCATTACCTAATAGCACCTACCGCATTCGCCCCGTAACTGATCTATTCGCCTTTCTTCTCACAGTTTTAAACCTGGATTTGAGATGACTCACAGTACTGATGCAGTAGACCTGATTCCAGAGACAGACATTCTAGTCTACCACACAGACGATATTCCACACAACACTCCATTACCTCATCAGCACTGAGAGCAAAGCTCTTCCGGACAGGGGGAACTCTGTTACGCACGCCACCTTCCAGGTCATCGAACACTATTCGTGCCTGGCAACTTCTTTCTATATTTTAACTCTTATACATACTCAACAGCTAGAATGTGGATACCTGAGCATCCCACAAACCCTGTTGTCAAGTTGGCAATCTCTCCCATTTATTCGTATTGTAATTGTTTTTTGAATAATCTCTTCTAGTAGTTTCCAGCCCTCGTCCTATAGTGACATCTATGTGTTTTTCTTGACCATGCCTCTGACGTCGACTCACAAGTAATCCTTATCTTACCTTAGGTCGGATCCTTGTCCCCACGTTACAAACAAAGGACACCATTTTCAACTCCAAAATTATGAAGACCCCTGCCTTCTACAGAAGACAATGAGGTTACTTAATAAACAAATTTATTAAAACCTTAATTCTGATAACCTAAGTAGTTTTACTGAGCTACATGTCCTTGGCTTATCAGCCAAGGTTTCAATATACATAGGATACTTTAGGTCTTTTGGTGGGGACGTGCGTATTCCTGTTCTGGATACGTCTTTTTACGTAGACAAGGTTCGTTGTGCTCTTTCTTAAATATTTATTTTTTTAACAAAAATTATTGTTATGTGATCCGAGACATTTCGGTTCTATTAGTTCTCAAAACACGCCATCAATCTGTCGCGAATGCTTTTTTTTAACATCGCAGCCCCGAACAACGGGTATCAATTAAAATCCCCTATTCTTTTACTAACTGGGTGCAGCGTTGTCATAAACTTGCCAAGTTTTATAATTGTATTGGAGGTTTTTCCGTCACATTTTGAATAGTTCAAACAAGTGTCGTATCGTTTCTGTTCTTCTGTTGAACATATTGTTTTATAGGTTCTTTACAAAATGATACTTCCTCAACTGCTAGGTTATATTAATTCTAAGGATATCGGATACTTTTATAAGGTGATTTCCACTCCTGAGCACTAGTCTTAGTGAATTACCCTAAACTGTAGAATATTCTCAATTGCACTACCTATTAACGCTGTATCCAATATTTGAAGCATGTTAAACCCTCATGCCTTTTTTCTGTTTATTTCAGAATGTGTATGAGAATGTGTTCATTGACTAATGATGGTCCATGTGCCAAACTCATGAGTCTGTTGATGGAATTGACCCGTTTATCGACATTAAATACAATTAAGTTAATGCGCGATTGAGCGGTGTAGGGTTAGGTGGAGTTGACTTGGATTAAAACAGAGGATTGACATCTTTCCCGCTAAATGCACAAGTCATTTCACAACAGATAAATTCCTCAATTTTGTCCTAACCATTTGTGATTAGATCTTACCCTGAGATTTAAATTATCGTGGCTGCGCTTTGATAAATGCTTGCCGTTTGTCTTACAGTTTACACTGAAAATTTTTTGATGATAAAGTTTGTGTTAAGGCTACTGTCCGTACCAAAACCTTTGTTTTATAGAGTTTTCCGTTGTTGAATCATAAAAATACAATCAAAGGTTGCTTGATAAGATTTATTATTTTGCTAAAGGGGAAAACTTCTTCTAGCAACTGGCCTAGAATCGTTCTTTATTGGCACTTTTAAATTGATTTTTGTTGTGGTTTTATGTCGCCAAACGTGTTTTTCATGCCCTTTCTCGTGTTAATTGCTGGCCTTTACTTGTTTAAAGTAAAAGCATGCAGGGAAGTCCTGTGCGCATATTCGGAAAGGACGTCTCACATCTGCCAGAAGGCCTGATCTTCATAATAGGATCTGTTGGCATATTTGTCCTCTACATCGTCTATGGGGGCGTTCAGGTGAGTTTATTGTTCCTACTGCAAACACTTATTCATTACGTCAGTCAGCTGCTCTTGTGATAATTTGAAATTTAGTGGATTTGCTACTCGTACGATGAGTCGTTTTATCTGCGGAAATAACTCCCTTTTACCCGATTCCTTTTCTGTCTAAACACTAATGAAAGAAGCTTACCTGTAATTGTTTCTAAAAGCATGACTTCTTGCATTGAGGCTCATTTGTACGTTAATTTACAAGCACTTTTTCTCACGTGTCTTATGTATTGAAGAGACCATGGCCTAAATTATTAAAAAATCCTTTCCTGCGTCGCTTCTGACAGCTATAGATTCTGGCCCACTAGAAGGGTTTGAGTTGTTTAGGTGATTTTGACCGAATGCAAACTTAAAAGACACCTTGTAGTGCTGAGGCGTTATTTCTAGTTCCTTGGAGGAACTATTTTACCCTAATCTTTGGGGCCGTAGATGCACTATACCCTTATCGCTCGCATACTTTTGTCCAATTTTAGGAATTCCTTTTTAAGAACCCCGATTTCGGTGAACATTTCTTGGCTTTGACTGCTACTCAGTTCTTCCTGTATGCTGTCATCTCATTTATTGAGAGCAAGATAACTGGTGTCGTTTACCATGACAAGTGGGTATTTCCTTCGTCTCGAAAACAACTTTTCCTTCCAGTTTTCCTCCGTGGCTCTATTGTTCCATTGGGCTAACCACTACAGGGACAATTTTTCTTTCAAACGCCGCGGTAGTCTACCTTAACTACCCCACTCAGGTCATCTTCAAGTGCTGTAAATTGATCCCTGTCATGGTTGTTAGTATTATTATTCAAAGTAAGTGCTCAGTCACATCCAACTTGCCACTGTAGCAAACGTCGTGGTAGGTGGGATATTTTCCGTCTACAATTCGATCTTCAACCTTTTTTATTACACTTGCAACTCTGCTACCATGGGGTTTCCCCTGTTTTATGAAATGTCAGTTAGCGCATTATCTGCGATTTATGATGAGTTTCTCTGACAGAAAATTAAAACCACTACGAAATCTAAACTGTGTCAAACATTACTAGGAGGGTGACTTTGTTTTGCGTCGAATCGGTCTTGTTGAGATGAAAACTGCCTTCCGATTCAACACGCCCCCTCAGTATTCAGGTTACAGGGCATAAAAATCCGGTAGCTCAGAGCGTTGCAGATCGTTGCCTCCCTGAGAGTTTGTGGGATGTTTTCTTAATCCAAATCAATTCAGTTTTTAGTGCTAGCCTAGTTATGATATTCTTTTTTTACTTCGTTTTCTTACCCTTTGCCTGTGTCCTTTTTTGTCTTTCAGGAAAACGGTATGAGTTAATTGACTATGTAGCAGTTACCTGCATGATTGTTGGCCTTATATTCTTCACCTTGACTGATGTTAGCATACAACCTAATTTCGACATTCGTGGTAGGTTTTCGTTAAGTTACGATTTGATATATTTTATTTTTATATGCAGTCGATGATCGAGGTATCGTTTTGTGGGGCAATAAAGAGCCATTTGAATCCGACGATTGTCGCTTTCGGGTCATTTTCTGACAGTAGTTGTTTCAATTTGGCCAAATTATCCCAATCTTCTAATAGTTGCACTTCATCGTGCCTGAATTTAAAACCACCGCCCAAATTAGCTCAAAGGGCTCTTGTGTTTTAATAAATTTCCGATTTTGTTTAGGTGTCGTTGCTATCAGTTTCGCTCTGATTTGCGATGGATACGTCGGCAATCTTCAGGAACTAGCAATGAAAACCTACAACATCCCCGCACTTCAAATTGTACGTAATTCTGATTCAGTTAGTGCTTATTTTGTGCATTTTCACATCAGACCGAATTGGGATTCCTCGGTATTATGGGTTGTAACCCAGTCTCCTATGCTTTAAAATGGTACATAATATGTTTTTGTGTATTGCGTGACGCTGTTGTAGGAAGCAGTTACTGCGACCACTGATGAACACTTTCTTGCACGAATGCTGTCTTGCTTTGGTAACCCTAAGCGACTCCGTGGTAGTCGGTAGTCTGCTCGTGGTGGTTTTGGTGGAAGCCCAAACGAGTTTCCTATGAGGTCCCTAGTTGAATGTGCCCCGTGTGGCAGAACTTTCCATCCTAAGTTCAAGGGAGTCTTCTAAGTGGCTCGAGCAACGTGAGGTATTCGAGTGTTGTCCTACAGCAGTGTAGCGTGCCTCCTTCCTTGCCTAGTAAATGGCATATTCTGATCAAGGTCTTTGCTCAGTTTGTTTCATTTTCGGCTGTAGCGTTCTGCAGTCACCGTCTGACAACCAGTTTCCAGGATTTCGTAGAGAAGGGCACCCTTCATGTCGCACCAGAAACACAGGAGAAGCTTCTTGAAGTGGAAGTCCTGTTTCGGCATCGGTGTACTGTGTTGCCTGGGATCTAACCACAACCCCTTGTTACGTTTGGGATTTTTGCGAAAGATGCATGCACATCCGTCACGATGTTGCACAGGAAGTCCATTCATTGTTTGTTGTCGACGGACAAAGGGTGAAAGGCGTGTGTTCATACGCTGACCTAGACTGAGTTCGGTCAACATGTGTGGGTTTTTGAATTTTCCCATTTGGCGGTGTGAGCACTTGGAAATAGGTGTTTGAGTTACTCTCAACTGAGCAGCAAGCTCTTGTTGCGTTTGCGCTAAGTCTTAATTCAGTAGAGCTAGTAAATCCGCGTCTTCAAACTATCGAGGCTGCTGTCCGGGACGCACCTGGTCACCAAGATCGCAATCACCACTTCGAAAACGTTTTTACTTCAGCAGCACTTTTTCCTTGTTGGGATTCGTACGCAATGCAGTGCCGTCGAATGTGCTGTTTATCAGTTGCCATCGTCGTGAACGCTGCTATTCCGAGAGGTTGTGTAATTCACGTCGGCTTATCGTTCTGTGTTCTGAAAAATTGCGTTCGATCCCCAGTCAGACATCCCAAGACTAGTGGGCGGTCATCGGTAATATGTTTAACGAATCGCCTTCGTAAAATTATACGTGATCTCGGTGTTGTTGCGAATATTTGTTACTAAGGGAATGGCGACTGATCGTCACACTTCGAGTGGAAACATGATCGCATGCTGGCATTACGTGCTGCAGTGTCTAAGCTATTGTGGCAGAACCTGAGTAACAGTGAGTCATCGCAGTTAGCGACTCTATGCCAAGATGATCCCCCTGTGAAGTTCAGATTCCGTTTTCTTCCCGTGGATCACGGCGTCGATAAATCAGGTGTTTCGCCAGGCCGAGATTGTCGTTTAACAAAACCAATATGGCGCCAACCCACCAAGTTTCAGTCTGCGTCTTCTTGCCATCTTCCCGTATAAATTTCGCTGAATTTCCCCCTCCCCCAATTCGAGTGAATGATGTGCTAATTCACTTGTGTTTGAGATGATTGAGTTGTCACATTACTAAATTTAATTAGAACATCTGGAGCCCGTGAGCACTGCAATCATTATTTGTTTCTATTCAATGACCATTTCTTCACAATGCACTTCGATGGTTTAATTTCCCACGTTTTTTGTGCTAATTTCGTCACACGCTGCACTTTGGAGCGTTTTTTTGTGTGCACGTGTGCCTTCACGTGGTGTATCCCCTGTTCACCCCCAAGTGGGGTTGTTCAAGTCGAAGTGGATCTCAGTAGCTGCGAGGATGTGGCGATGAGATCTCATTGGTCGAGACAACCACTAGCACGCGCCTTGTCACCTCTGCTTACAGCCACTTTACTGCTCCTATTGCGTGTTACTCTGAAACCATCTTGTTTCCTCATTGCAGTTAACCTACTCGTATACGTTTGGATTTCTACTGATCCTGAGCCTCCTCCTGCTGACGAATTCCCTATTCTCGTCTGCTCTTTTTTTTATTAAGGTTTGTTCGCTTTCTTTGCCAGGGCTGTGTGTGTGTGCGCGCGCACGTAATGCGTAAATCCTAACTACCCGACTGTTAATCGCAATGCTGCCATTTATGTGTGTATCTTATCTGTCACCGTTTCCGCCACCTGATTCTCGTGCTAACTTAATCCTCGTTAGCTCCTGCATAAACCTCTGGTGACCTTCACGAAGGTTACCACATTCAATGCAATTAACTAAAACGATGCTCTAGCGGATAAGCTGGGGTTTTCTGACGGCACCATTTCGTATCTCTTTTTCCTGCAGCATTCAAAAGACGTGCTGCTTTTGACCTGCGTCTTCTCCTTTTCGGGGTACTTTGGATTGCAGTTTGTTCTCCTCCTGGTTCACCACTTCGGAGCTCTTGTTGCAGTTACTGGTAATGAATTAATTTCCCTTTCAGCGTTGAATAACTCAAACGCTTTTTGATGGCACTTCGAGGCAACAAACCTAGCTGACATAAAGCACACACTGGGAGTTATACGTATTATGTCTGAGGAAATACACTGCAACTCACAAGGTTTTACCTATTATCGATATGTATATGGCACTTTCCTTGTCACGTAACGACGCGAAAAGCTTTTACTGTGTAGTCAGACGTTAGCGATGTATTGATAAAATGCAAGATGCCTTTTTCCCAATAACACCACGAATCTCTTCACCTGTTTCAGTGACCACCGTCCGCAAGGCTGTGACGATTGTGTTTTCCTTCCTCTTCTTTTTTAAACCGTTTTCCTTCCAGTAAGTCGATTTCTTGCTTGTGCTCTTCACTCGCGTTGCACACATTGCCGGGTTGACACGCGAGATCCACATCGGATAAACGGAGCGACCTAGAGCGTTTCCAAGCTGCTTGAATTTACCAAAGAAGTGTCTGCTGTTTGTGTAATTAACAGGAAATAGGACTGTTCTCGGTCACGAGTTTTTCCCTCACAATTACTTCTCTCTTCGGTATCCTTGCGTAGAGGTAGCACTTGACTCCATGAATTTGTGACTCGATTCACACAGGACTAATGTTTTCGAGAAACATCGTAAGGCGGTTGGTTGACAGAGCAATTTTGACAGATAGTGGTCCATGTTTTTGTGTGTGTTACCGTCGACTGAAGGGAATTTCACGCTACCCAGTAAATCACGAATGATTTTTTTTTTCATCTCTACAGCATGAGGGTGCTTAGGCTCAGTAGAATGTGCTTGCATTGTCTAAAATTGATTAGCGCAATGTCCCATGGCATATTTGCCCATTCAAACATTCTACGCATCTTCATGCTCGTACTTTGTTGATAAATGTCTGCTTAAATCAACTACGTTCGATGGTATGCTGGGATTCAATTAGGATTAATGTGAGTTTATGTCACTTACACCCGCACACACTCACATTCGCACACACACACGCGCATCCCAGACTTCACGATTGTGTGCTGAGATAGGTGAGTTGCCTCCCTCTTCCAGGTACGTGTGGTCCGGGATGTTGGTGGTCGTCGGAATCTTACTGAGCTCCTACGCGAAATCACGGAAGTCGAAAGTCCCAAGCACGCGTGAAACTGTCTCACGTTCTCAGTCCAAGTCTGACTTTCAGCTTGTTTGATTCCTCCTTTCTTCTTCTTTTTTTCATTTACTTGAATTAAATATATGTATATTCCTTTTGTACACGCGATTTCTGGAGTGCTACGCTCTATTCGTGCATCAAATAAGCATTTCTTCAGGCAGTCACAGCAGTTGAATTACTTTTTCAAGGTGAATTCTACGAGAGTCGTAGAGGAACGTCGTTGAGTATGCGAGAAAGTTGCCTGTCGATTGCTTGACCAGGTCTTGCCCCATTACAGACTGCGGCCGTATTGCATTATGCGGGTAGATCAGCTAGCCTTTTTTTCTATGTGTATAGTTAAGCGAGACTAACAGCCAATCCGAGACGGGGGTGGGTGGGACGCATCAATGATATGGAAGGGCCACCACCAGACGGTTCTTGTCTGCTGGTTTTTACGTTCAAGTCCGTCTTGTTGCACGGGTTTACTCCTTGCCGTGTTACGGGTATTCTGTGCATAAAAAATGTTTAGTTAAGCTGAACTTCGGACCAATCGTTCCGCCCGTATTGTCAATACATTCGATCGGTGCAGTCTCGCTTGCCCCATGCACTGTACTCGGCAATTTTAAATACTCTATTGTGTTGCGTGACTGATATCCAATCACGGTAGTTACGCGTAGATGGCGTGATTGGCTATCAGTCACGCAACACCATAGAGTATTTAAAATTGCCGAGTACAGTGCATGGGGCAAGCGAGTACGAGAGTGGTTGTTGATGTAGGTGATTGCTTAATAAGGTTGGTGATTGGGTGAATATGGTAGACTACACCAGAGTGGGACATCCACTCTTGTCCTGCAATTGACTCGCCTACCCAAAGGCGAGGAAACGTGTAGGCATGAAGGCGGGGGATAGCGGGAGAATATGAGGGGACACAGGACAGGCCAGGATGTTGCGCGTTACAATTTAGGCTGAAGAATGACTGGAACGTCTTAACGACATTGTGGTGTCAAAAAGCGAGAACCTAGGTGACCTCGTAAGTTTGGCATAGGCCCGAATTTAGGGCCGACTGCAAGCCATGTTGACATTCCACTATAAGCAATTCTGAGCACTTTTTTTATTCACAAAGACGACAGTTCTTGTGCTCTGTAACAAGCCGCGATATGTTGTGTTATGTGGTTTTGTGCAAGCCCAAATCGCTAGAGTGGAACTTTCAGACAGGGACATGGGTGACCCGCACTTGTGAATCGACCCTTGACCCAGTCTGTTAAACTAATTGCTGCCAAGTTGTGTGTTTGCACGAGAATTGAAAGCAAATGATAAAAAAATGTTGTGTGATATGCAGTGGTGAAATCGGATGAATATTTTCTTTTGGATTTTGCTGGTGCGTAGAGTCTGAACCTAATTCTTCTCCAAGTAAAATGTGGCATGAAGTAAATTTACTACCCCATTAAAGAGGCGCATTTTTATTTTCTACGGAAACAGCACCGAAAGGCCACTCAATTCCAATCACACAAGTTTTGGAATCCGTACAAAGTGCTATTAGAATTTAACCTCGATAAATTGTGTTTTGTAAATTATTAGAAGTGAAGATGGCGAATGCATTTTTGACTGATTTCCGTAAAGGGTGACTTTAGCTCGGGATATTTAAAACCTTTAATGGAGAATGATTAGAATCGAACCACGTTTGAGTATACTTTGTGTGAGTTCAAAGTTATGATTACCCAGGGATTCTCAGTTTATGGGACCTTGTCGTAGGCCAGAAAGTGACTAACTTCGGTTAAGCTACTGGGCTAGGATCGAAGTATCAAGAAATGGTTTCGAGATGATCAGCTTCACGGAAGCTGAGAGTGCAGAGTAGGACACAAAACCTCAGAATCCGAATTCAGCGTGGGCTCTCCTCATTCTTAAAAATCGTGAGTCTACGTATGCACACCGATACTCAGACCTGCATCTATAATGGATCGTTAATAATTACGCGTGAGCGAAGCTTGCCTACGTGACCATCGATTACAATGACTCATCCTTTTTTATTATTGGTTGCTAATATTGATTGCTTTTAATGCACGCGCGCTCATCTGCACAAAGCGCCACTTGGTTGGCTTAACGCTGATAAGAGGCCATGTCCACTGTCGCCTCTCATCTCCCCTTCTCGGGTAGAACCAAGCTGTTAACTAGGGGGTTGTAAGGTAGAGCGAATTGATCCCCTACACATTCGTCATAACAAGTATAATTAAGTGCGTAAATTTTTGGTAAGGCTTAAAACATCAGACAATAATCTTAGGCATAACATTTTTGCACTTTGAGTCTGAACGTCAATTCATTTAAAGAACTCTGGCTTTTGTGATGTTATTTCAAAACCAGCATTAAATTGTCCTATTTAAGCATGTTAAAATTTTGAAAAAAAATTTGTTTAAAATTCAGGTTTCCGCGAGGATTAGGTAAATATAATTATCATGAATTTTTGAATTTTTGGCTTACACTCACTTAAAATTTGAGTACAACTTGAGACCAAAGTAAAAAAATTACAGGCCCTTTAGGTGAGCATAGTTGTGGTGGAATAATGAGCATTAATTGTGAACAAGGTATCAGTAATTACGATAGACATAAAAATTGACATGCAGAATATTTTCTAAGTTACGGATCCATAAAGTAACAGTTTATTCTATGACCAATAGAGTTTAAATATTTACTTTTAGGAAAATTAAAGTTTTTGGATACTAATAGAATGTTATTTTGATATTTAGGTCTCAAAATAATATGGTTAATTTTTCTCAAAGCTTGAAAAGATGTAGGATTGCAGCACCGAGTGATATTTGATTTGCTTCAATTGATGCCTAATATGACTTCAGATTGATTGAGTGTTACAATTTAGCAGCAGTTTATGTAAAGGCATTGTATTTGTGTTTTAGCATTGTTGTACCTTAATAGGGCACAGTAAGGGTAGCCCTAATTACTAAGCTTATTAGTAATTTAAGATGATTACCATTAAAAAGGTTACTTTCGTCTTGCAACAATTAGAAACCTCCTAAAAATTTCGCTTCTACATCAAATCAACAAGCGACAGCTAGTCTACTCATTTGGTTGCAAATTTTATGAAGACGGATATAAATGTTATTAATGCTCAGAAAGTACGGTTAAATTAAATGTGCAAACAAGTTGCCACGTGATAAATGCCATTGATTTAGGCGTAAAACCACTAATTTTGACAATGCACGGTCTTTGAAGGCTTGAAGAATGCAGCGCAAACTGTAAAGGGCGCTCCGTAAGATATAAATAGCGATGCCAGAAACAAGATTTGATGGAGTTCTCAAAAATTGAGTATAATTATTGAGCTTCGCCAAATATTTCGGTTATTTCGCTAATTTGCCAGTATTAGGGAAAAAAGAAGTAAATAAGACTTCTGTGTGCCTGTATATCCTGTATTTTCACATTCCTAGTAATATCGTATCTGTGACTTTAATCATTTGATTTATCCTTGCTTAAGGATTGTTGAATGTCCTTTTGTGTTTTAACCTTTTTCAGCCTTTATATGTGCATATACTAAGCCAATATCTTAAATTTATTATTATAGTCTTTGAAAAACCTTTTTTCCTGTTTTCTGCTTCAAAACAAAAGAAGTAAATTTAAATGGCCTTGTTTGTCTTATTACCCAAACTAGCGCACTGATCAAACGCTTTTGTATTGTCGTAAGTACCGTTCACAACCCGATGGATAGATCGGCTTGTAAATTAGTCTAAAATTTCGTTTCGCACTTTTGTGCAAAAAGTTAGATTTAAGTAATAGCTTAGTGGTTTTTTGGTGTGTTCTGTGACGTTTAATTTTTTTGTTTATTGGCTCATCTATTCCTGTCTACTCTTTACCTTGTTTGGGCTTCCTGTTCCTTTTATTAAAATTTTTTATCGTATCAAATTAAATGTCTTGGTATTGGTTCTTAGCTTAATTAATATGCGTTAGAAGTTTATGTGAACTTAGATTAATATGTGGTCGTTTGTAATTTTTTGCGATTTACTACTACTTTGACCTAAATTCGTTTTCATAGATGGACTTCATTTTGACATTCTGAAAGTCAAGTATTTGACCATGTTTACCATTTTACAATATCTTGAGCAAAACTCTAGTCGTGATGTAATCGTTCGTAGCACACATCATTTCCGAGATCTGGAAAATGACATCGAGCCTAATTACCCGAACGTAACTCTTCGTGTCATTTTTGTTGTCTCAAATAATAAGTATTTCGAGAATAAGTTTTCTAGACTTCTTGTTTTTTCGACCTCATTGCTCATTACTGACCATTGGTCAAAAAGTTCGGGGACTCGTTCATAATACAATGTCGTTTGAAAGATGTTCTCACATTTGGTTATTCTAAAAGTATGGCAATTCGTCCGTGGAATATGTTTCTCGAAAATTTTGACGCGACAATTTTTGTGCCAACGTAACCTTTCCCTCGTTCTAAGACTTTCTAATTTTCATTTCGAAAAACGTGCAGTATTATATTCTCTCCAAAACACTTTGATGCCGTTTTGTCTTGTGCAATCATGTTGCAGTTATCGCCCAATCTCCCACAAAACACATGTCGGAAGAGAACTCCTGGAGGACAACTTTGCCACCCTCTTCTAATACCACCTCGGCAGAACCGGCTGTGGTTCGCCCCGACACCCTCAACATCGGCGCCACTGCTATCTCGATGGACTTACTAACCCCACAATTGCTTCAGTTTTTGCAAACATGTCAGCCCACTGCCGCCTCTACAGCCTCCACTCCTGACACCAAGGTTCTTGAGTAAGTGATCCCGATCATTGTGTCATTTCGTTTCGCTTGCTTGGGTGGCTCATGCAGCTACCGTCCGTATCCACTGATCCATTCATTTCGATCGATATTGACTTTACCATTTCGCTGTTCCGTTCATGCAGGCGACAAGAGGCTTCTGACCACTTATTAATGCATTTCAAATTCCAGTATGGGGCGAAAGTTTAGGTCTCACTTTCCCTATGAAAACCAGGTCTTTGTTCACCCAAATCCACTGTAATGCATTTGTACACGTCAAATTCCACGCTTTTTTAGTAGAAAACAATTTGGTCCATGGAATGAGGGTAGAAAATTTATTATCGTTTCTGCGGGGTTTCGTGTCGTTGGGGTAATGAGAGAAAACAATTTTTGATAAGTCCTATTATCTGCATGTTGCTAAGCCATCTGTTTTTGTGGACAGCGCACGTGTACAATAACGAAATTCGCAGGCTGGTGATGCGCCCAAGTACTTATTCATGCACAGCGACCCGCAGGGACACAGACCGAAGTTGGGACCTGACGTTAACTCCTGGTCAATGGCGGTTGCACTCTTGCGTTAACATCCAATGGTATCTTCACAACTTTGATGCAAGAAGGGTTTTCTTCTTGTCAAGTATTGTAGCGTCTACATTCCTGCCCCGTTTGTTCACGCATTGCTTTTTCGCTCTGCTTGAATTTTTTTAACAACGAAGTCATTCCTGTTTTGCTTCATCAAACTGTTGCTAAGCAATGTCGAAAGGGTGACCACCTACTGAATACAAGCCACGGATATATTCTTTGTAAATTGGCAAGTCCTCTAATGCTGGGGCCCCGGTGTCTTGCTTTACATCCTTCGTCGTTCACTTTGTGCTCATTACAGGCTTGAATTCGCTTACGAGACACCATCACAACCGGTGGTCCCAGCTTCAAATGGCGCAGACATCGGGGGCCTAAGCTTCCTCCAGATAACCAGGCGATCGAGTAACATGAGCCGAATGTGTAGTAATCCGTTTGGAAAACTTGGGCAAATTTACAGCGCAGCGAAGCCATTGCACTAACAGCTTTTTCGAACTGTGAGTTGCCAACAGTAATCCTTGGAATGTCCGATGTCGGCCGCAGTCGCTGCTAGACTGCTACTGGGTGTCACAATTCTGGGCTCTGTGGAGGCGTGGTTCAGGCAGTCAGGTGATCGGAGGATGGCTGATGCGCCTTCTGTCGTCTCAACACCCTCCCGTGCCTGAACTCATGTCTTCGCTCGTCTACTTCTAGGTTCAACAACCATGTCAGCACTTTTACTTCATAGCCCACTGCCAGCTTGGTGTTGTGTCAGATTGTTAAACCAGTCGCAGCCCGATTACTTCAGTGCTTCGTTCGGGAAAATCCACTCAAATAATTGGTGGTGAGATTGCCGTAAAACGAAAAGCAAGCGAAAATTTGCAAATCCCAGGGCAATATTTAGTGATTCAGCCCCCAAAAGTCGAAATTATGTGCAACCTTCATGAATTGGGGTAATTATACTACTGTAAGTACGAGGTTAATTAAATCGAAGGTAATATCCTTTAAGGGCTCACGACGCTTGTGCGAGTAGCTCAAGTGTTAGTGTTAGTGCACAAGGAAGTCATTAGCGAGCGCGCAAGTGCTCTGGTGTTATTCTCGTGGGTGCGACTACTGATCGCGTGCAGAAATTCTCTCGAATTGCAGCGATTAGTCATCCGGCAGTTCGGAGTCGGGGTTGCTCTCTTGAGAGCACGTCCACGTGTCGACACATACGCCTTGGCTGAAATTGATGCCCGAGGTAAACTTCAGCCAGCTCACTCTCTTATGCTTTAAAAGGATACACGAGATGTTGTGTGTGTGTGTGTGTGTGTGTTGGACGATGCACTCGTGACCGCCGATGAACAGGTTCCCGCGCAAACCTAAGTGTGACTGTCTAAGCAGGCAAGTTCCTGTTG